GCTGTCCCTTGTCTCTACTGTGCCAAGGAAGTGGCTGCCCCTCTGCTGCTGGGACTCCTGGAGATCCCTGGAAATCAAACTGTCAGGCAGTTGGGCAGGGGGAGGTGGCCCCAGTGTGTGCCATGGGCTTGCATGAAGTGTCTTGCAGGTATGAGGCTGTGCACAGCCACACACAGCCATGCATGTAGGTGTGCACGCCTCCACTTCACTGTGCACGCAGACAGCACCCACGTGTGCGTATGTGCACACATATGTGCACCATTCCTCCTCCGCAAACCATGGGAGAGCTGTGAGGCTGTGCAGCAAGAAGTGCTTGCCTTCTCAGGCTCTAGGGCGGGACTCTGCATTTTATGATGGGCTCTGTGCTGAACCTCCCTGACAGGCAGAGAAGGCAGAATCTATGTTCCTGTGGGAGCTGACCTCTTAGGGCATGGTTGAAGCCATGAAGAATGTCCCTTTATTACAGGTAAAATGCAGGGAGCAGAGCACGAGCAGCCAGGGCCAAGGTATCCTCAGGCTCAAGAGGATCAGTGGCCACAGCTCTGTGAACTGGGCTTGAGGCAGTGCTGAACCAGGCATGATGCAGACTGAGCACAACTGACACCAGCCCTGGGGACTGACTGAAATGGCACAGTCCCAGCCATCCCTGCCTCCTGGCTGCTGGTTTTGGGACGTATTCAGAGCTTAGTTGGGTGGGCCTGGTCTGGGAGGGGTGCTGTACAATCTCCTCCCCAGTTCTTCACCCTACTGAGAGGCCCTTGGGTCTCCTTTGCAGATGGGCTCTTTGTGACTGACTACTTCACCCGCACACCACGCAAGCTCAGCCCTTTCCGCTCCTTTGCCAGCATTGAGCTCTTCCACTTCCATATCCCAGAGGACACTGTCATTGCTGTATGGAACCTCATCACCTTCAAGGAGCAAGGTGGCACCTTTGGGGACCAATGCCCAGACCGTAGCATCACCGTGTGAGTAAGCAGCCTGCCCTGCTTCCTTCCTACCTGCCTCTGCCTGCCACTGCTGCTCCTGCCTGGACTGCCCCAGAGCCTGCCTGCTCTTACCTGTTTCTTGCTTCCACAAGCATGTGTACATATAGAGTCATAGAATCACAGAATCATAGAATGGTTTGTGTTGGAAGGGACCTTAAAGATCACCTAATTCCCACCCCCTGCAATGGACAGGAACATCTTCCACTAGACCAGGTTGCTCAGAGCCCCATCCAGTCTGGCATTCATGCACACACATGAATATGCAGGTGTACACATGTGCACAGCTGCAGGCACACAAATGCACATATATACACACACATTCATGTACGCATGTGTTGTGATTTAACCCTAGCTGGAAACTGAATACCCTATAGCTGCCTGCTCCCTCCCCACCCCAGTGGGGACGAGAATCTTGGGAAAAAAAAGTAAAACACGTGGGTTGAGATAAAAACAGTTTAATAATTGAAACAAAATTGCTAATAATACTTGTGATAAAACAACAACAATAATAATTATAGTAACATCAAGGAGAGAGAGAGAGAGATCAAACCCAAGAAAGACAAGTGATGCACAACATGATTGTCTACCACCCACTAATTGATGCCCAGCCTGTCCCCCAGTAGTGGTTGGAGGCTCCTGGCCAACTCCTGCCAGTTTATACGCAGGGTGTGATGCCTTGTGCATCTCTCTCTGGCAGAGCATGGGACACTGAAAAGCCCCTGACTCAGGGTAAGCCCTGCTGAGCAACAACAGCAACGTCAGTGTGTTACCAATATTATTCTCATACTGAATCCAAAACACAGCCCTGTACCACCTACTAAGAAGAAAATGAACCCTATCCCAGCCAAAACTCAGACAACATGCATGCTCACTCCCCATGATTCATCTTCCCAGGACCATTGCAGGCTCCACTCTTCTGTGCTTATCATCCATGAACTGTTTTGCTTGAACACCCACTCAGGGAAGCTCTCAGTCTCCAGCAAGGTCCCAGCTTACAGATGGCTTCCATGATGTCTTTGAGCGTCCTATTAGCACAGAGGAAAGACGCCCACGTGCCCAGCCTGCATCCTGCTAACTGCTGTCTCTCCTGCAGGTATTTCCGCTCAGGGGCTCCATCCGTCATTAACCCACTGCACACGCACTTCCCCAGGGACACGGCTGTCCCCGGCTCCTTCGCACTGACCCTCACCTGGACCCTGCCCAACCGCACCACAGGGGTGTTTAATGTCACCAGCCCGCTGCCTGGGGACTGGTTCCTGGCTGCCCACCTGCCCAAAGATGAAGGCAAGATCTCCGTCAAGGTGAAGGGCCTGGAGGGGCTGTGGGGTGGCAGGGCTTGCTGCAGGGCTCTGCTGGCATCTGACTGCTCTGGGCTGGCAGTGCCCGGGGCAGGTGTCCCAAGTGGGGACAGTGCTCCATGCCCCTTGCCCTGTGCTGACTGTCCTGCTGGTGCAGGGGCTCTACGAGGAGTGCCAGTATCTCTTCCAGCCACAGCTCATTGTACAGCGCCTGGTGAACATCGCTGTGCTGTATCCCGGACATGTCACCGAGCAGAGCATGGCCCCCCACAACCGCTCCTCCCTCTACAAGTGAGTGTGAGAGAGTCTCTGAAAGAGTGGATGTCTTCAGGATGGGGAGCCGAGGGTGTCCCATCCCTCTGGCTTGTCTCTCCAGCCATGTTGGTCCATACTGATGGGCAGGGTCTGACACTGCTGTCCCACAGGGTATTTGTGCCCAGCTACACATCACGAGTGCTGGTGGAGGTCCTGCAGTGCCGCGGGGCTGAGGGCTGCCCACTCTGGCTCCGCATGCGGGCCAAGGCTCCCCCTCTGCACAACTCCACGACACTGGACTGCCGGGAACACACTCCCTGCCAGCTGGCACAGGACCTGCCCTTCTGGCAGCACTGGTACTACGTGCTGGTGGAGAAACACCCTGGAGTGCCAGGCACAGTCTCCTTCCAGGTCACTGTGCAGCTCACAGGTGAGGATGCACGTGGAAGTGTGGGTGGGGGACATGGTCCTGACTCTATTTTGGTGTAGGGGTAAATGATGCATGCAGGATCTGGCCCCAGCTGGGCATGGGGTTATACCCAGCTCTGCTGGGATGGGGACAATGGGAAGTGTTGGTGCTGGTTTGCAGATGGAGGTAAGCAGTGGGCAAGAAGGGGAGGTGGGAGCTAAGAGGGGGTTGGAGCTGTGTGGTGCACAGGCTGATGGTTCTTTCCCCCTAGACTGTTCCCGACCCAGCCTGGCCCGGCCACCCTTCCTGCCTTCCAGCACCTCCATGAACATGCCCCACTCCTTCGGCTCTGTGGGTGGGCTGGCGCTGGGGGACAGCCCTCCACCCACCAGCCCCAATGGCACAAAGCACCCGGTGCCCATCCCCATCGCCTCTCCCACCAGTGAGCGGTGCTGGCCTGTCCGCCCCACACTGCGCAATGACAAAGCACCCGGTGCCCATCCCCATCGCCTCTCCCACCAGTGAGCGGTGCTGGCCTGTCCGCCCCACCCTGCGCAATGAGTTGGAAACCTTCTCTGTCCACTTTTACATCTTCTTCGGGCCCAACGTGTCAGTGCCCCCTGACCGCCCTGCTGTCTTTGTCATCAACCTCCTCCCGGTTCTGGACAGTGGTGGAGTGCTCAACCTGGAGCTACGGCTCAATGTGGTGAGGTGGCCACATGTGCCCTGGATGGGGGAGGGCAGCCTGGGGTGGGGGGCAGGATGGGATTTGGGTGCTGTCAAGGTTGCAGCAGGGCAAGGATCAGTGCTCTTGGGTCATGGGCCATGACTGGGGAGCTCTTGGGTGATGAAGGACGGATTAGGGTGCTCCAAGGGCAGGGTGATGACCTGGGTTTGGGTTGTTCTTGGGTGAAGGGCAGTGAGGTAGGGCACTGCTAGCTGTTGTGCA